CTGAGACTGTGAAATATGGATTGTAGTCACAAATAGGAATAATTTAAAAAAATGTTTTATAAGGGTAAGTTTTGTCCAACAATTAAACTCTCATTTCTTGTGTACATAACACTTCAGTTCTTGTGGATCCCTGACTTTATTCTGCATCCTTGTGCTCAGTCACTGTGAGCTTCCAAAGATACACGTGTGCCTTATCTGTCTTGCTGCTGCTGCCCAAGCCACACCAAGCACTGATTTTCTTCACAGGCTCTTTAGAATAACAAAGCTCTGAGAGTGAAAAAATTACTATTATTAGGCTTCAGGACTATCTATTTTTTGAAAAAAAACCCAACCCTCAGAATTATTTTAACTGTATACTTGTCAGCCTTAAGTCTTTTAGAATTTTTAATGCTTAGGGTTTTTTTATGTTAAATAGGCCTAACAGTTAACCTCTTAACTGCTCTGTTCAGTTTTACTTAAGAAATTCAGATTATGCTTGTTCTGAATCTTCATGATGTATGAATTATTCTGTTTAATCTGCTTTACTCAGTGGAAAAAGAGAAAATTTCCCTTTTGGCATGCAATGAATCACCTTGTTTATTTAATTTTTTCCTTGTTCTTTACATAGTTTAAACTGACAAGAGATTAAAAGAGTTATTACCACTGTCGGGGCAAGTGTGTAAGTAGGAACTATTTGAAAATGTGTATATGCATATTTGCCATGTGAAGACACTTAGCTATAGTTATATTTCATATAAATTATCTCAGGGTATTAGCACTCCCTTAAAATTTGATCCAGTTTAGGTATTGGTAATGCTATTTCTGTCTCTTAACATGAAGATCATCTTTTCTGTAGAAGTGCAGGAATTGCTGGCTCATTTTACTGGTTTTTTTGCTCACCAGTAAAAGTTTCTTTGGTGGAGTCTGGACTAGAAATGTATTTGCCTTAAATATTCTTCCTGGTGCCCAGTATCATAAAGCTCACTGGCAACCAAGTTTCTTTTTCTGTTTCTCACCCTCCCTGCTTCCCATTTTTGTGGTGAGTCCATATGTTGGAGAATAAACAGTGACTTACCCAGAGTTTCTTTATGCTCTGCTTTTTAGCACTTTCTGAAACTTCTAGTCATCCAGGACAGTTCATTGCCAAGAGAGCTCACCAGTCCTGGCTACGGTGTTGATCCAGCTGATGGGTTGGCCAGGGTGGGGCTACTTCTCTCTGTCCTGGAGATAATTAAATTGCATAGAAAGTGAGAAAATTATGCACAGTCTGTTCTTGTAGACCTTTCTGGAAGTGGGTTGGGGGGTTTCAGGGCTTTTTGATCCTGATTCCACCCTACAATCCATACTGGCTTCTCAACCTCATTCCTGTGCTTGCACTGTTCTTATCTCCAGGAGCCAGAACAAGGACATTTGTCCTGGAAAAGTGCTGCCCTACCTTTGTATGGCCCCCTTCTTCAGCTACACACTGTTCTTTTTCACAGTATGTTATTGCCAACAATCCTTGGCTGTTATTACCAACAATCCTTGGTTGGCTCCACAGTTATCTGGCTATCAGTGTTTGAGACATGCATATAAACCCTCTTATCTTCTAGGCTTCTACACACCCTCAGCTCTTTCAGAAAACTTAAATCGGAGCAGTTAATAACATTTCTAGTATACAAATGGTACCAGCAGTACTCTCTAAGCATTTCCTTTTATCCTTGTGCTTGTTTTCAGTGGTAGTGTCAGACAGCAGGACTTGCATCAGTAATTGAAGAAAATGGTGGTTTTCTTCTCATGTGCTCAGGGTTCCCTAGGTTATATGTTGCTGTTGGCCAACTCTTTTGGTCAGAGACTTGCATTTAGCCTACTAAAACTTTGTTTGACTGGGAATCCCCAAAATGGAATATACATGGGAAGAAAGTGATTGACAGCATTATTTCTTACTAGCTCATAACTGCTTGTTTCAGATTCAGATTTTCAGATTGTGTTTTGAAAAAAAAGGATCTACAGCTTTGCTCAGATTTGTCTGATTCACTGTGTGAATGTAGCTGAAATGTGTGTGCAGTGAAGGGAAGGGTCTTGGTTGGTTGGAGAGAGGTCAACCAAAACTGAATATCAGAAAGCATTCCAGCCACTACTACGTGGCTACTACGTGGCTGATATTTCTTCTAGTCTCATTCTAATAGCAATGAGAATTTGGACAACAAAATCTGTGTGTATCACTTTGATAGTAGAGAGCACAAGTATAAAGGAGAATGCTGGTGCCAGGAATGCATTCAGTTCTGGCCTTGACTGTGTATCTTCTATATATTGTCTATATATCTTTATCTGGAAAACTGAATTGTACAAGAATAAATTATCTTTTTAAAAAATGAAGAAGCTGTGCTCCTCTAGACTGTAACTTTGCCTGAGCTAACCAGGTCTTTTCTGCATTTGGAAAAATCAGACCTGCAATTCAGCATGCACACAACCCTGGGTGAAGAATCAGCTACATTACTGAGAACAGGCACAACATACATTGAAATGTTTTTGCCTTTTTGTGGCTGGGTCCCCACTTGGCTGCTGTAGACAATGCCTGAAGAGTTGTATAATTCTGTATAGTTCTGCAGTGAGGAGAGTGTTAGTGCCTGAGAATGTTCACAAGCAATTGCTCATGGTGGGATTTTTGAGTAGTTCTAACAGCTAAAAAGATGTGGAAATCTGAATCTTGCTTGTGCTACTTCATGAATATATTTAACCTAGAGTTACAGTGCTGAATTAATTCTGAATCACTGTATTTTCATACAGTTAATACTGCTGCTGCTTACAACTTACTTAGTGACTGTGTCACTGAAGATTGAATGTGCTGTTTAAGATCTGAGCATTAGCTCTGAGAGATCAGGCCAGGTTGCTCAGGGCTTTGTGCACTTGGTCCTGAAAAACCTCCAAGGAAGGATACTGATCAAGCTCTCTGGACAGCCTATGCCACTGCCTGCCTAAGGAAAAAAAAAAATCTCCTTATATATACTTGGAAGTTTTCTTTAAGGTTATGGTGCGCATAAGAGTAGTGGAAGCATAAAAAAACGCAACAAAAAAACCCCAAACCTAATTTAGATACTTTACATTTGGGATGAGTAGTTGTTACTTTCTTGCTTAAGGAGTTAATTGAATCAGAATTTTTCCTCCTTGATCGAAGAGTGGCAGCATTTCACCACCTGTGCTGCTTTGAGGAATCCAGTTACTCAGTTGCAGGTGCAGGGTTAATAGTTGCCTAGATATAGAGCTTTATCTTGCCTCTTGAAAAGCCTCCAGGGAGTGAATGGATCAGGCCTGCTAATTAAACAATCCAGAGGCTGCAGAGACCTGGAAGTGGAACAGGTGACAAAATTTGCAAAGAACACCTTGGCTTCTCTTGCCAGCAGGGCCAGCAGGTGTTGACAGGAGCATAAAGGTAGGGGTGGGAAAACTGTCAGCTTTCCCTTTTCTCACCTTTGGCAGAAAGGGAATAAGTAGAACAGCTTATCTTTTATGTTTAAATGTCATTTCAGATTAAAAACTTCATCAGATTCTGTTCCCAAATGTGTTTTACAAAGCAAAGAAAAAAACAGAAAGAACAAGCACCTGTCTTCAATTTAAGTTAGAAGTTTTTCTTTAAAACTAGGATAAACTCCCTTGGTTTTTTTCTTTCTTACAAAATCAGTTATATTGGACAAATTAATATTAGATTTAATAGGCTTTCTGTGACATGTAAAAAAAACCCCAACAGATTTTATACTTATGAAAATTGCTCTTACTCAGCAAGTCAGATTTTCTGGTTGGAAAAAAGGCTCTGCTTGTATTAGTAACATTCTGGCCAGGAAAGAATTGAGACTATTTTCCTCTAGAAACATTTACTAAAATAGAACTTTTTCATTTTATAGATAAGAAATTAAGGGTTCTCTGGTTTGAAGTGATATCAGCCTGTGGTTACCTTGTCCCTCAAATGTTCTTCCTACATCTTTACTTAAAATCAGGTTCTTCTGTTTGCTCTTTCATATCTCTGAACTTTCACTTGTTTTTACTTGTTTTGCTTTTCTTATTCAGAACTACTTATGAACACAGAGATTGCAGGACTGTGCAAATGATTTCTACATTTTCTAGCGCCCATTTTGGCATATTTGGTATTGCCAAGCACGTTCCAAAAAGCAATAGTGCAAAAAAATCTCTTGTGGGTAATTTTCTGGTCTTTGGGGATGATTAAAAAAAACCAAACCACCCCCCCCCCCAAAAAAAAAAAAAGACAGCAAAAACCACAAACAAAAAACATTTTGGAACTAGAGAGAATATAAAAAATTTCAAATCCATCAAGCCAGTCTGGTGGTATGTATATATATATATTTTTTTTTTACCGTGACTCAAAAAATTGGAATTACTGACACTGGTAGTTCATCCTGTTGTGGTCGATGGTCTGCTGTCAGGACCATGGATCAGTTGCTTTAGTTCTTCAGGCTGAAGTGGCTGATAAATCATTCTTCCAGCCTGCCCTGTTCATTGCTGCTGTAGCTGCACCCTCTCCTGGGAGTGCTTGCTGTTGTGTTTGGCACTGCAGCTGGCTTCTGTCCCTCATCCTCCTTGTCCCTGGACATCGTGGATGTTGGGATGAGATGTTCCTGAGGGCCTCTCCTACTGCCACTCTCTGGTCTCCAGCTCTCTGCTTCTTGCTCCTGCCCTCAGCTATGTTGCAAGCTTGGTAGCCCGTGTGGCTTCTGTGTTACTTTGAATCTATCACCAGTACATTAAGAGTGGTTGGAGAGAATGCTTCTAACTTCTTTTTTGGTATTAGACAGTGTCTTCTTGTTTCCCTGAATTAAGTTCATTAGTTGTGGATAAAGCAACAATACATTTTGGATTGTTTTCATTGTGTTGCACTAAATAATGCCTTTTAAAATCTGTAAAAGCAGGCTAAGTCAGAAGACCATTTGTAGCTGAGATTATAAGTCTGAGATTGCTTCTATTTGACTCAAGTTTTCAAAAGTCTATATTTTAATTCTAAAGCAAATTTATTTTCTCTTTTTAAACAGATGAATCATGTAAAAGACAGATTTGGTGACAGTGTGCCAGAAGAAGTGCTTCTGCTATGTCTGGGCATTACTTCAGGAGTTGGCAGGTTGATCTTTGGCAGAGTTGCAGATTATATTCCCGGTGCAAAAAAAATATATTTACAGGTATGTCTTTATTATTTCTGTATTGCTTTCGAACTGTGGATTCTAAAGGATTTGGTTTTGGTTTACTATTAATAAGTAAGCAGAATTAACTGATTGGAGATTCAAATTTAAGAAGTTTCAAAACTCTAGGAAAGTCAGTTTATGGATTTTGATACTAGGAGCCTTTGGTGCAGAGTTTATGAATCTCTGATTTTTGTTTTTAGTGCTAAGAAAATGTCTATTTCCTGCTGGCTGTTTTCAGCTGGGAATGAAAGAAATTACTGTCTATTAGCATGTGAATGAAAACCTTTGGGTATTCTCTAGATTCTGCTTTCTCCCAGATTATGATTTCATAATGGTGTTCCCCAGATAGGGAAAAAAATTAAGCCATGTTTCTCTGCTAAGGATTTTGAATCTCTTGATTTTTGGCAGGCACTAATTTGGTGTCAGATATGTTCTGTGCATAGTACACAGGGGTATGGCCATGGCAGTACAAGAGGTGCTTAGTTGAGGAGATTTTGCAGAACGAGTCCTGGCTTCCAGAAATGCTGAAGCTTGGAGATGAAGGAAGATATACACTTCTTTCTCCCCAGACTTATAAACGATTTTTTGTTTGTTTGTTTGGTTTGGTTTTTTTGGGTGGTTTTGTTTTTATTTTTTTTTTTATTTTATTTTTATTTTTTTTTATTTTTGTTTTGTTTTGTTTTTAAGAAACTAGCAGTGTTAGTGTGGGATTTTGGAAAAGCTTTAGTTGACTTTCACATTGGCAACTGCGAGTATTCTCTAGCTGGTCTCTTAAAATGAATAGCAAGGGAGGCATCTAGTGGGGATTGTCTGCACTGCAGTATGGAAATCAAAAATTCTTAGGAAAGAATTACCGTTCTGCTGGAGTATTTGCTGCCATGGATCAGTTTAGATTCCTTGATGTTTTATTGCAGTTAGGTGGAACATTGGTTTCCAGTGCTTACATATGGATAGTGCACAGGCAAAACTGTTACTGCTTTCATTTTCTTTTTAATTCTGCTTCATTTTGCTGAAAGACAGTTTTATTCCTTTAATCTAAACCAAACAAATAATCTAAAATTATATTAGAAAATCTTTGTTAGTGTGCATGACTACAACAGTACATCAGGATACCTTTTTTTAATGGAAAATTTTAATGTTTTCTCTTCTGTTGAATACAAGCACCCTGAAATAACCACTCATAATACTGATATTTTTCCTTGTAACAGTGAGGAGTCTAATTACAGTATTCCAGCTATCTTAAACCCCTAATATTTCTGTGACTTATTTCTCAAAAAATATTAGTGCATGAGAAATTACCTTACACAATCACTCTAGGATAGTGGATTACAATTGCATTTTCAAAGCTTGTGAAATGAGTAGTGGAATTTCTTTGCCTGTCATGAGTTATGTGTTTGTTTTATCTTAGTATGTAACTTCTGACAGTGGTAATCCATGGAGACTGATTTATTTTAAAGTAAATACAAGCAGGCAATCTAATTCACTGCAAATGCAAGGAGGTTCATCTGGTCCCTTACGATCTGCAATGAATGTTTATATTTTTTTTTCCTTGCTCATATTTAGGTGGCCTCATTCTTTTTTATCGGGCTGATGTCTATGATGATTCCACTGTGCAATGTCTTTGGAGCTCTCGTTGCTGTCTGTCTCTTCATGGGCCTGTTTGATGGCTGCTTCATTTGCATTATGGCTCCTATTGCCTTCGAGCTCGTTGGGGCTCAGGATGTCTCCCAGGCCATTGGATTTCTGCTTGGACTCATGTCAGTGCCAATGACAGTGGGTCCACCCATTGCAGGTGAGTGTAGCCAGGGTTTGTAGCTGTAAATGTGTTTGTGTTTGCCATGACTTTTTGGCTGTGCTTCCCATTTCTTCATCACGTGCAGAGCTTTGACATTGGAAGTTTTCTCTGTGTGCTTGAGAAGATACAGGAAATTTACCTGCTGCTCGTGGGTTATTAATTTACTGCACTCTTCAAAGTTTGCTCAGTCTTTTTCATTGTTATGCAGGTTTAAAATATTCCTCAAAAGAAAGGCAGGTAGGTTTCCAGTTGGATTTAGGACCTGACAGTTTCCATTTTGTGCAAGTGACAGCCTATTGGTTGTTTGTGCTACAGAGGGCCTCCAAACTAAAATCTGAAAATTAACTGGACTCCAAAATTCGCTCATGTTAGAACCATTGTGAGGATAAAGACTCCAGTCACTTTAATTGCTCCTTGTAAGTAGGAGTGCTAGCTTTAATCATCCTTTAGTGGGATACAGACAAAATACAGGTTTTGAAGATGAAAACTTGGAAGTTCTTGGGAGGTAGAAATAGCTAAAGCTGTATTCCTAACCACTGATGATTTTTAGTGGTAATTTACCCTGAGGTTTGGTGGGTGCTACTGAAAGGTACATCGTAAGACATAATTGAACTATGCAGCATTATAAAGGACAAAATTTTAATGCTGGAACAGCACAGACTTGGTGCTTCCTGATCTGTTTCCTACTGTCACAGCTATTAGTACTTAAATAGAATTTGACTAATGGGAGGAATTTGCAGAGAGAAATTAGAGTGAATTATTGGAAAACACACTTTTTAATAAGAGGCCATGAGGAGTGCAATATATGGAGTATATCTAGAATTAGAAGAATGGGCATATTGGTCAGAGGTAACTGCTACCAAAAGGAGGGAGAATTTCTTTAAGTCATGGCAAGATACAGGTGCTGGAGAAGCTCAAATGAGCAACTTTCAAATAGGAAAGATGGTGCATGTTTTTAGTGGATGGTAATTAAGCAATTTTTTATTGGTTAAGAGGTGACATACTGAGCTCTTCATCACTTCTCCAAGTGAACTCTGGAATACCTTTCTACCTCCATGTACACCTCTGTGTGGCCATCAGATTGTCAGGTTCTAGTGGTTATAATATGTGCCAGCTCTTGGTTTTCTGAACCTGAAGCCATGGCCTGTTTTTTGTAGATTCCTGAGGCCCCTCTATTTATGCGTGGTAATTTTCTCCCTTTCCAGGTTTGCTGCGGGATAAGCTTGGCACCTACGATGTGGCATTTTACCTGGCTGGAGTCCCTCCCCTCATAGGAGGAGCTATTTTGTGTTTCATCCCCTGGGTCCACGAACGGCAGAAGTTGAAAGAGAGAGCAAAAGCTGTTGATGGAGAAACTACTGAGAAAATGCTGGAAAATGAAAGCACTTTGGTGTCAGACACGACAGAAAAGCCAGTCAAAGAACTGGATTCTGGCTTTTGATGCCTTTTTCTTTTCCCTGTACCATCCTGACCTCCTCCCACTGAAGCTAGATTTCTACTTTTTGCCTGAAGATATTAATACAATACTGAAGTCTCGAACTATTGCTCAAATTGAAAAACTGCTACAAGAATCTTTTATACCATTGAACTTTTTTGACAAGTCTTTGAATTTGATTTCAAGCCACATTTTCAAGGTATTTGAAGTTTTGTAGCTTTAGTGTGTACGTGAGTAGTGATTCTGTGTGTGAAGAGAATATTTTTCTAATCCATCAGGACTGATTTCTGGAAATGTGAAAGCTGTTTTTCCTTCACTGACCCAGGATTTTTCAATAATGTCTGTGATCCATCCTCTGTAGGCACACCCCTGAGTGTTTATACTGGATAATGTAGTAGCTCTTACGACTGATCTGTTTTTTTGAAGTTTATCATGCTGTTTACAGTCTTTTATAATTCTCTATCGTGAACACAAATATGCATCCTTTTGCTGAAATGATTGTTCCATTAGAAAGCTAAATTATTATATAACTGTTGAAACACTCACTTGTGTTTGCATTCACCTTTCACAGTAGCCCAAAGAACATTAAGAATGGCATTTTTGGATGGGCTCAGGTTTTGAAAATGTGCAAACCAAGCTCCAAGTGCAAACATGTTCAGAAGTTAAGCTGCTGAATAATAGATTTTTTTATTATTATTATTATTTGGTGAAGGCAATACCCTTAAGGTGTACGTGTATAAATCTTTTTTCAACCAAACCTCAGAGTAGTGGATAGTTTTGAAACTGTACTGACTAATTCTTTGGAGCAGTATTGTGAATTAGACTAAATTTAAAAGTATTCTATTGTACTTGTTAAGATTTCTTTTTTTGTTGTTCATAAAACCAAGACAGCTTTAAAGGATACACTCTAAGTGCAATACCAAGATGTTTTTAATGTGGAAATATACATGAGCTATTAAAACAACATTCAGCAATTAAAGATTTTTGCACTAAGTGAACATGCAGGTTTATTACATGTCTTCATAGCTGTGCTCAATTGCCTGTAGATTATATGGCTCCATATTTTATTCAAATATAAAGAAATGTCTTTTCATGTCCTATTTCTTGCTTAACATCCTAAACAAATGGCCCCATTGCTTAGGTATTAAACACTGTCTGTCAAGCAAGTAACCTCTTTTTCTGAAAAATGTTTAAAACCATAATACTTTGAGATGAAAACACTGCTTTTCAGCTGATCATAAAACACTTCTAAGCACATTGCTTATCTGTGGATATGGTTCAGCAATCACTGGAATATTTAATCATTCTTTATTTCAGGTCCGTTCAATACTAATAATTTTTGTTGTCTCATTTAAAACTGTCATAGCAGAGTAAACTAAATGTGATCTGGACAAAATGCGTATTTAAGTGCTTTTTTAATTAGTAACCGGTCTTTACATAAACTATGGAGGCATACTGTTGGTTTTTTTTAATTACAGCCTTTATTGTCTTTTCTATTTTAATTCCTCTTTTTCCAGTGTTGTAGTAAATTGCTCAGAAAACCCATCTTAAACAGCAATACTATTGCATTTAATGTTTACATCTAGCAACTGACAGAAGTTCCTTAAATATAATCATGCAAAGCATTCTAATAATTGTAGACCAAAGTTCAGGCTTTTTTATATTGCAGAATTTCAATTCCCACTTTGCATGAGTGAGGTCTAAAAGAATTGAATATTAAAATGTTAGAGAGACATATGTGGAGGGACTTGGAGGTGGTGGGAGGGAAAAGCCAATCTGGAAAACTGAGGTTCCTTCAGGTTCTGGGACTTGTGCTTTGGCACATGGTAAGTACTTCTAAAAATGTCATTAAATTATGCATAGTAGTGTTAATTAAAATTACTGCCTTCATTACAAAAGTGATGCTGACAGCCAATGCTGCTTTTGTCTGGAGTGTTTCTGTAGAACATGATATTCAGTATTATTTTCCATTCGGACAACACTGAAGGTGTTGTTGGCTAAGTGTGGTGAAAGACTCTCGTTTGCTGTTGTTCTGTTATGAAAAATTAGTATTAATCATAGATCTTGCATTTCATGTGTTTTTAGCCCTGAGTTTTATACCAAAAACAAAGCTGCTGCTTTTTTTATCACTAATGCAATTTGAAATGATTGTGACCGGGTATCTTGGTGTAATTATGGCAACTTGCCATAATTATTTCCAACTTGCTGCTCTGCATCTCTAAATTATCTGGGAGAGTATATAAAATAATTGTTGTAAAGATTTATTAATGACATGGAAATAGTAAACCAATAGTGTGGATTAATTACTGCCATGCTGTTAAAAAAAGACCCCAAATTCTCATATTTGCAAAAAATTTATAAAAATCCCCAAACCAACAAACTAAAAACTACAAAACCCATGACCTCCATGAGGAGGGTACAGTGACTAATTGTTCAGGAGTGATTCCTATGGTAAAACCAGCTAGTGAGTGGGATGTTGGATGAGAGGGAAGCACAGTTTAGGGGGAAGGAAGCTCTGCTGGTGTGATGGCGTTGGAATAACAAACGTATTTCTGATGCAGTGCTTGTTTTGCAACAATGCTAAAATTGGAAAGGCTTTTCAGAGAAGATAAAGTAAATTACTGTTCAAGAACTCTATTAGCATCTTTTCTGTTAGCTTGTATCTGTGGGGAAAATGTCCAGTAGCAAATGCTCTTTTCTGGACAAAAGCATAAGGTGTTTGTGCCCTAAAGCTAGGCGAGGTGAACAAGCTCAGATTGTTTGTGCTGAGGCTGACCAACCACTGCGAAACTTGCTGGGAGAGATACTAGATCCTGTATGCCCAAAGGTTTTAAAAAGGAGGTTAGATGACTCTATTTAAAAAAAAAAACAAACAAATAAATCCCCCAAACTAAAACGTGAAAAACCCTACACAAATAGCGACTATTTAGTAAATTTATGTAAAAAAATATATCATATTATAGAAGTGGAGAAGAGGACTGAATATTCAATTTTATTTTAACTGAAAAAATGCAAATAAGATTTTGTAACAATTTATTTTTAGGTGTGAACACCTATTAATGGGAAACCTACTGAAATCCTGTTTTGATGACCCAAATCATGCCAGCCTTAATCTTATTTGGGGTAGATTCTAAAATTAAAATAGTAGTTGAATTAAAGATGATGCTTAAATCACTCTGATATATCCCTCTCTTGAGAACAGTTCATAGAGTACTTTCCACAGACATTATTCATGTATCCTATAAGCAGATAATCACATTTTCATTTAATGTTCTCAGGGTAAATCTTCAGAAGAAAATGGGTAGAAAGAGGTTCACTTAAAATGTCAGTGTAAAATTTTCAGTCCTTCGTGATGCTCTTGTTTAATACACTAGATCTTGAAACCAATACTAATTTTGAGCAAGACTTTATACTTTTCCAATAGGTATGAGATCCTTTTAATCTTAAGAAAACTGTTCAGCAAAGAGTCTGAAATAATGGAAACCCTTTGGGTTCTTAATTACATCTCAGCTATGCAACAGGATCCAATGTGCAACTAATAAAGTATTGCTGGATTTGTCCTGGCTACTTTTGAAGACCTATACAAGCCTCAAAGCCAGACTTCAAATTATAATGTAGTTACAATTTCTCGCATCCAGATCTTTCTGTTCACCATTAGCATTTAAATTATTTTTCTGATTTTATTTCCAGGGACAATTTATTGTCCCTGAAAATTGCCCCCAGTAGTCAAAGATGCTGTAGCTGCCATTGTAAAGCAGAAGTGCCCTGCTCAGTTCCTTGCCTCGGGCTGTACATGCCAAAGGGACAGGAGGTGCTTCCTTGCAGCCCCAAAGGGTGTGTGTGAGGTTGGGAATCAGTGCTACAATCCTTCAGGCCATCCTTTCGGGTCCAGGCTCTCTCTCCTGGTGCTGGCACGGGGCAGTTCCTGCCTCGCTGCTTGCAGAGGGGCTCAGCTGTGCCCTCTGAGCTGGGAGCAGAGGCAGTGCTTGGTCTGGGGCCCACATTCCTCCTTGGAGAGCTGGAAGTGTTACAGACGTCAGAAAGGACCCTCTGCTATTAAGAGTGTGTGTGTATCTATAAATAAATACACAAACATTCTCCATCTCACTAGAGGAGGTGTAGTTCTGAAATGTGGGAGATGGCTGAAGAAAAAGTGATCCCTTTCTTTGTGTGCCTCCCTGTTGACAAGCACAGCACAGTAGAGTTCCAGCCAGCCAGTGAATTTCTGGTCATGTAAACTTTGGCATATGTGCAGTTTGCCTTTTAGTCTATATATATCCTGTGTCGACAGCTGTAGTGTTTTGGAAGTGCATATGCAAAGATTAGAGTGATTTTATACTAAAATGTTTGCTAATATTGACAACACTGACATGTTTAAGTAACTTTATAGACATCATATTTTGTATGTTGTTTTTGATATTAAAGGGTACATGTTTTGCTAGCCTTAACTCCAGTCTTTCAAGTTCTGCTTTGTTAGAAGGGTAAGAAATGAATGTTTAATGTTTTTTGTGGTGCTAAAGTAACCGTGATCAGTCTCAAATTATTCAGAATAAAGATGTTAGTTCTTAAGTGCCCCACTTGTTACTGTATGCATCATTTTTAGTCTTATTCTTATGTAAAACTTGTCATTTTGAAATGTAATTTTGTTGTATTCTGATAATTATTGAATCTAGTGTGCAGACTTCTGTAAAAAAGTCTTTACAGCTTTTATTGCCACTGTGGTCTGACTGAAATGTCGCCCTTACATTTGTTGCTCCTACATTAATATATGGTGCAACCCATTTCATTCTGATTTCACTGACAACCCATTTTAAGACTAATGATTTAAAACCCTAAGCGACTGAGGTACTTGTTACTGAAAAATTAATCTTCTCCATTTTCCATTCTGGGGCTTAATATCAAACTTGCAGAAGCAGTGGCATTCACAAAAGGCAGAAGGAAAATTAAGGGAGGGAAACTGGTAAAATAAGATTGAGTGGTATTTTAAAAGAATTCTGACTTTGCTTCATGAATTGCCAGCGTAATTCAGTGGGACCTTTAATCATTTACTGGCCTGCTAGCAATTTCCCTTTGACTTACTTTGGTGGTATGAAGCATGAATTGTTTCCTCATTTGTGGAGGTCCTTGAGCCTATCAGGGTAACTTCTAGGGTAATGTCTTGGAAGAGTCTGGCACAGGCTTGGAGAATGCCTCGCTACTTGTAGTGAGATAGGAAGGTTTCCCCCATGGTGCTCTGCAGCACTGTTAACCTGCCTCAGTTCCCTAAAGGTCACTGCCCTTGGACCTCCCCCGTGCCCTCTGACCATTGCCCCGACCCCACACTTAACCTGGGACACTGCTTTGATTTGGGTTTTTTGTCCCTGGACTGCTTCGGTGTGTCTTTGCAATAAACCTCACTGAAACTCTATACAGGGACCCTTCTCATCTTTCTTTGCTGACCTATCTGTGGTGTGTGCCAGTGTGGTTTCAGTGACTCTCTGCGCCTGCCCGCGCAGCTTTCTCAGAAGACGCTCTAGGAAAGGTAGCAGCAATCACCATCCAGTTCCACGCTGCTACACTCTGTGACAGCCTCAGTAAGTCCCAGGAATTCATTCACCTTTCCTTTGTAGCAGGGCCAAAAGTTTATTTTCTTTAAAATATAGATCTGATGATATGGGTGAAATATTCCCTTTTCACCTGGGGTTATTCTCTAGGCTGCTTGTAGTTCAAATTAAAATTTGAAAAAGATGCCCAGAATCTTTATAAATGCCCGAGTGCTGTTGCCGTTTGTACACACTCAATGTACAAAGCTTCTCTGTGTGTAGAACAACTGTAAGGAGAAGCCTAGGGAAGGCATTTCAAATACTACTGTACCTTTTTCAGGAGGCTGCTTTTATAACAAGGCAAAACACTAACATCTAGAAATGTGGTTTGACTTGTGTGTGACTACTACTGTTTTATAGTTGAAATTATTTTATCTGGAATTGCCTCTACTGCTGTACGTATCAACAGAAGCTCAGCAGTGTTCTGCAGATACCTCACCGTTCAGACTCTGCACTCTTGCAAAGGTAAGAATGTGCGATCGATGAGATTTAAACGTTATCTGGCAGTGTTACTTGTAACAAGCAGGGTTTTTTTAGTTTTTGTATATATATATATATATATATATTTTTTTTTTTTTTTTTAAATGCCTCAGTGCGCCGAGGCTATCCTGAACAGGAAGGTACTTGCAACATTCTTGCGAGTGCTAGAAGAAAAGGGAATGGGTTGCTCGCTGTTACATCCCAGGATCTACTTGTTAGGAACAGCTCGCAAAACAAAGCAGTGCAGTTTGGAATTATCTTTTGAGTTGTTTGTGACATTTAAACTTACCAAGTATGGTGAAACTCAGAGCCTTTCTTACAGGGAGCAGCGCCTAAGTGCCAGACAGGGAGCACGCACGGAGATTCTTGCACAGTCTGTGAGCTGCTCCACGTGAGTGGTAGGAATTTATGTAGTTTTAATACTTAAAACAGGCCGGGTCTTAAAAGTTTGAATACCTGTCCTTAGCAGAGCTCGCTCTCTCTTGAGAAGTTTTGTCACGGTGCCATAACACAGTGGTTGTGGAAGACAAAGACCTTTTATGATAGGTCGTCTGAAAGGTCGAGTGCAGTTTGAGTGATAACACAGGTTAAAAATCATTAAAATAATAAATGGTAGTTTATAAGGGCAATTCCTCGGGCACTGTGGCACAAGCTTGCAGCGGTGTGGAGTCCGGGCTGTCCCAGGAATGTCGCTCCCCAGCGCCGAGCCCTGTTCCCAGGGGGAGCCCCCGGCGGAGGAGGAGGCGGCGGCGTCGCCCCCCGGGTCCGAGCCCGCCGCTCTTCCCGATCCTCCTCCCGCTCCTCCCGGCGCCGTGCGCGGGGCGGGGCCGCGCTCCCCGGGCCCGGAGCGGCCCTCGGAGCCGGCGGCGGGAGCCATGGCCGATGATCGGGAGCTGCGCGTTCGCTTCGTCGATCCGGAGGAGGCCGAGCCGGAGGCGGGGGCGGCTGGAGGCGGACGGTGCTGCGGGCGAGGCGCGGACGGGGCCGCGCTGCGCTGGTGCATCAGCGGGGTCCTCTGCGCCTCCTTCCTGGGGCTGGTGAGTCAATGAGGGAGCGAAGGCCGCCCCGGGGCTGCGGAGAGCGGTGCGGACCCTTCCCCGGGACGGGCGAGGTGACCCCGCACTCTGCCCTGCAGGGGATGAGCATCGCGATACTGGGTCCCACCTTCCCCAACCTGGCGGCCAATGTCGGCAAGAACGTCAGCGACATCTACTACATCTTCGTGGGGCGGTCGCTGGGCTCCCTGGCCGGGTCGGTGGTCGGTGGGGTGCTCTTCGACTGCATGAACGCCTCTCTGCTGCTCGGTGAGTGCTGCGCCGCCGGACGGTGGCATCGCCCCGTCGGATCCTGTCCGGGGCATCTTCCGCTTCTCCCCAGCCAGCGCAGCCCCCGAGGGCGATGTGTGGCCTGTACGGAGCGGGGCCGATCCCCGGGAACGGGAGGGTCCGTGGGATGTGGTGCTGCTGCCCCCGGGTGCCCGCGGTTGTGCTGTCGCCATGTTCCGCCCTGCCGGATTGCTGACACGGCGTGTGCCGGGCACTGCTGCTCTGCAGCATCCCTGCCAAGAGCCCGGGCCCCCGGGCACGCCAGCGACGGCAACGGGGATTGAACGGACAAACCCGCGTGGATTGACCAAATGCTGCCTCTGGTTTGGAAAGTACAGTTGGACTTTTTCTAGTTGGCATCAAATAATGTGCACAGTATAGCTTTTGGAACATACCAGGCTTCTGTAGTGACAGCACGTAGAACAGGAAGTTGTGCTTTGGCTGCCGTGCGTGCAGCACAAACCTCCAGCAGTCACACTGGGGCGCATTTCTGTGCGGGGAGCTTCCCCTTCCCTTACTTAACGCCCATCAGTCACCGTCCTCTTCGTGCACTGGATGAAGTGTGTGGCTTTTGACTTGGAGGGCCGTAGCCAAGTTTTAACTTATTTAAGTGGGAAATATGAACTACTGTCTATAATGGAGGAAACATTTAAACTGTAGGGAGCACCGCTAATGATTTTAACAGCTTTCTGGACTTGTGGAAACTTGCTCCTGTAGGATGGCTTTGTCCAGGCAGAGTGAGGCTGCTCAGCCATGAGCCACACTCAACATCCACAAAGAGGGGCTCCTTTTAGAGTTGTGTTAGTGTCTCATTCCCACAGAGATTCCCAGAACACACCTAGAATAGTGGAAGCCCTATCTTTTTTTACTTTCAAGTGCCTTTGTGCTCTAAGTTAGGGATTACTGTGTATACAGGGCTCTTCTCCTTAGTTCAGGGAACTGTGCCTCCTTAAGGACTGTTGTAATCATATGGTCAGTTCAGATAAGGTCCCTTTTTCCACTGCTAGTGTTTGTCAGGTGGACGAGGAAGAAACCCACTCCACAAGTGCAAAGTCAGACTTTGCCTTCTGTAATGGAATCAGTGCACAGACCTGTAGAAATACATATTCACCTGAAATAGTTTAGTATTTCCTTCTTTTCCTGAGAATAGCTGTCTGTCAACAATGCTCAGGAAGTGATGGATCTCCTAATCCTTTCCAGTTTGGTAGTGCTTATGGCAAGACCACAACTTGAACTACTGAACCTATTCTCATTTTTATCATCTGAGGGCTGCCTGCAAGAGATTTTGGCTTGTGTACTTTTACCTCCCATCTTTCAACTGCTGGAACTCTGCTACAGAGGAAAAACTCTATAGGAAGGAAAAATTGAAAATATCATCTGTGTTTATTTAAGGAAAATTTAAAGTGCTAATCATCAGGCATGGAGCTGAAGTGGACAGCTGAGCCCTTGCTGAGAAGTTACTTTTCAGGTCTGAGTGGGGCACTGAGGAGCTATGCTTTATACTCCCCATTTCTAGGGTTTTCTTCATACAGCTCAGCATGCACACCTTCAAAAATGTTTTGAGGCATGTATTCCAAGTATCTGTAGGGTTCTGGACATTGTTGCTGTTTTTACTTGGAATCAACCTAAATTCTTAATTACATCAGCCCCCATTCATGTTTTAAGTATCTGCTGCATCTATGATCATGTATTGATTTGGAAAATAAGAACCAGCTGAACTGGTACAAGCTTTCTAAGAACCTAATACGTCTGCTCAAGATACTAATTGTAGGCTGTTTTATTATGGAGGCAATTATAAGCATAGAATTGAACCGCTGAACTTCCTCCCAAATGGTAATAACAGCAATTTCCATCTGCTAAAAATATTTTTTGAAATGGCATGTTGTAAGCGTAGCCAATAATGGCAGAACTAATACAGTTAACAAATTGCTGCTAAATTTATTAATGAGAAATTTTGTAGCTCTAGAACTCCAGAGATCCCTTGGAATACATCCCTCATGTGAGAACAGAACACAAATGAAAGTCAGCATCTGTATATGGAGATCACTTGGTGGACAAGGTACAATTACTTTATAGGATTTTTAAGAGCTTAGTTATCTGGGTTCTTTTAAAAATGGAGCCAAATTAAATGTTCAGTTCTCAGAGGACAGGCTTGACATTGTTCAAACCCATGTTTTACTGGTTTCATGGTGAAGTCACACTTCTAAATCAGAAGTTTACAGAACACTTCTTAGTGTCCTAGCAGGAGCTGCTGCTCTTTTTGCTTTATCCAAGGAAGTTTGTCATGCAGGGTTTATATCCTGATGAAATCCCTTTTTTTTCCAACTAAAAAATTATCTGTTGAACTTTCTAGCTGCTACTGCTAACCACGGATTGAGGTATTTACATTGCATCAGTTATTAGGGTTTTCTGTGACTTTAATAATTTTGAATTTATTTGTATTTCTTTGTCTTCTGTGTTATTTAAATGAAAACTGGATTTTTTGTTTTGTTTTTTAACCTTTCCAGCCTTTTCCATGCTTGGAACAGCAGCTGGTCTTTATGGGATACCCTGGTGTAACGAATCTCTGCTATTAACAACCTTGATGTCGATTATTGGAGGTTCTATGGGAATTCTGGACACAGGTAAGGGACCCTGCGATCTGACAGTTCTTTCACGAAAATAATTGGAAACTTCAAGCATACCAAAACAGTTGCTGGCTTTTCTTGTGATACATCCTGAATTAAAAGAGTGAAGCTGTTTTACCTGGCTGTGATTCTTGGATTAATCTGGTCCTGAGGCTTCCAGTGTTTGTGTGTGTGACAGGCCTTCCTTTAGAGGATGGGGAATGGAGTATCTCTTGCTTCCTGAAGATGGGCCATTTCAGGCATAAAGGAAGTGCCCTGTGCTCTTTAAGCAACGTTTTCTTTAAATTACACATTCACAGGAAGCTGGTCATGATATGGTTCATTAGCATTAACTGGGCCTAAGTTAGTCCTGAGCAAAGCCTTGGTGTTTGAGATTCTTACAGCTGCTGTTGGCAGAGCTGCCCACCTACAGCTGGCTCAGCAGCAGCTGGGCACAGTGTTACCCATCTCCCTGAATTAAAGGATATTTTCCACCCTTTGGCCAGCCATGCTTAGGTGGCTGGGAATTTGTTCTGTCCCCCACATTCTAAGTCTGTGGCATGTGCATACTGCAAATGGCTCAGGCAAAAAAACCCCAAACCCAGCACTTTTGCTGGAAAGCTGTTCAAACTCAGTTTCTTAGCAGAGGCTTAGTATTGGAGGAAGATGATCTCAGGGGTCTTTTCCAACCTAAATGATTCTATGATCCTGAGATGTGTTGGTGAAGTTGCAGAGCAAGTATAGGTCTGGTCAGGTCAGTTATACAGGAGGTATGAAAAATGAACTCCCACAGAAATGAGTCCCCTGGGCACGGCTCAGACAGGCTGGGTTAGGGATGGCTGCCTTTAGCAGGCAGCTTGCATCAGGAGGCAAGGCCACAGCAAAGGATTTGGGCATGTTTAGAGATGCTGGGGAAACGCTGGCATATTTGTATGTGGAGATTAGGAAATGCCCAAAAGTACATCAGTTAGCAGAGTGTTCTGGCATTGCTTGTAGCACGTGGTGGTGAAGCAACACCAGGCAGCCACTCCTGGCACTTGTCCAGTGATGTCTCAGCAGTGTGTGCTGACTCTGCTGCCCTACTGCAGGAACCTGGGGATGCCTACTAACCAGCAAGGTACTACTGGAGCTGGTTGATCACCTTCAGGGCAGGGTTATTTCTGAGAAAGAGCTGACTCCTGTTAGCTTAGACATGCAAACAGCTCTGGAAGCATCCCACGCAGGGCCTGGCTATGGTGGCTTGGCTGGCTGGCAGCACAGAGTGGCTGCACATGTGAACTGTCTGCCTTAATTCTGTGGGGTTTGAGGGAGCTCTACTAAGATGTAAAAAGAGCACAGCACAGGATCCAGGAGTGAAGAGATGGTTTTGAATGGCACAGATCATCCTAAATAAACTGAGTGCAGAGCTGACTTTGCTGCCTCCAGTAAGCTTGTTACACATGGCACTTGGTTTAAAAATTCTTTGTATGGGAAAGTCTTGTCAGCCAACGGTAAAAATACCTTCCGTGAGTGTACTGCTTGGATCAGACCTCAGAGCCAGGGAGACTTCCCATGCTGAGCAGGAGTAGCAGAAGAAGCTCATAGCAAGGCAGTAAAGCAAAGCTGAATTGATTTGCAACAGGGCTGAGTGACAAGGGCTGCTGTACTGCAGCACAGGAATTTGATTACTGCTTTGTTTTCCTGCATTCCTCTGAGGCACTACTTCAAAACACCTCTCTGACATCTTATTTCCTACCATTATTGCTGATCTAATGGTGTTGTAGTTTGGTGTTTGCAGCGGTATTGATATAAACTCTTCTGTTTCTGAAAGTGTTTCAACACAGTGGGGTGGGCCTAGCCCATCAGAAGCAAGTGAATTGTTATTTTTCCTGGGGTGTTTAATGAGGCCTTTGATTCTTAGCACTGAACATTGTTGCTCTTGATACTTAGAGAAATGAGAACAGTTAAAGTTTCCTTTTAAAAAAGGCTGAAAAATGCTGCAAATTATCAAATAGGATAATTAGAGCCATGGAATCAGAGGGTCCCTAGGTTGGAAAATACCCTTAAGGTCATTGGGTCCAACTCTTAAGCCAGCACTGCTGAGTCCAGCCCTAAAACAGATCCCTAATGCCACATCCACCTATCTTTCAAATACCTCCAGGGATGGTGACTTAACCACTTGCCTGGGCATCCTGTTCTAATGCTTGACAACCCTTTTCCATGAAGAAAGTTTTCCTGATACCCCATCTAAACCTCCCCCCGCACAGTTGTCTGTTCATTGCTGCTGGATTAGTGTGTGACTCTTTGTTTTGACTGCTGTGAATATCCTCCTAAAGCTCAAGTAATCACATGGATTTAAGGCAAAATTTCAGTTAACTGCTATTTTGCACATTGTATTTGCTAAACCTGGCATTGTTGTACATTGAATTCGTAATATTTGTTTTGTTTTTTTTCTTTTCTTTTAAACAATACCTGGTCTTGGACTAACATCTTTCTCTCTCTGATCTGCAGGTGGCAACGTACTGGCACTGAATACCTGGGGATCAGAGGCTGGGCCACACATGCAGGCTTTGCACTTCAGTTTTGCTGCTGGTGCATTTCTGGCTCCGATCCTGGCTAAAATGGCCTTGGGGGGTTCTGAATCTAAAGAACTTGCAGGGGCTGAAAAGACAAACCAGTCTGTCCTGAATTCTGTGCTGACAGCATCAGCTGCATCAACTACACCAGCACCAAAAGACCATCAAGACAAAGACTTTTTGTGGTCCTATATTATCATAGGGACCTATATTCTCTTCATTTCCATCTTCTTTTTTGTTTTGTATTCAAAGACCAACTCAGGCAGAGACAAATCAAAAGCTTCTGCGCAGAAGGGCAAGCTTGCCAAATACCACTGGCCTCTAATTGTTCTTATGTTTGTATTCTTCTTCTTCTATGTGGGAGCAGAGGTCACTTATGGCTCTTATGTATTTACTTATGCAATGGACTTTGTTGAGATGATGGAAAGCGAAGCAGCTGCTTTGAATTCTGTCTTCTGGGGGGCGTTTGCCGTGTGCAGAGGAGCAGCAATATTCGGTGCTGCTTTCCTGTCCCCTCTCACCATGATTGTGATAAGTCTCGTATGCTCTGCTGCCTCCTCGACAGCCCTGGCCTTCTTTACACACAACCAAGCCTTGCTGTGGGTGGGAACTGCCGTGTATGGAGCATCCATGGCCACCATCTTCCCCAGCGGCATTTCCTGGATAGAGCAGTACACGGTTATTGAAGGGAAATCGGCTTCTCTGTTTGTGGTGGGCGCGGCGCTGGGCGAGATGTGCATTCCCGTCGCCGTGGGCTATCTCCAAGGCAGGTTCCACGACATTCCTATCATTATGTACACTGCCTTTGCCACTTCCGTGATGACAGTCCTCCTCTTCCCCGTGATGTACAAACTGGCCAACGCTCCCCAGGAGAATGACATGAAAGTGGTGAGTGAGAGCGAGACCCGGAAAGCTTTGCTGTCAAACTCCAGGCTTACTGAGGATGAGGAGGATGAGGAGGAAGTGAGAGAGTGGAACGATGCAGACTTTGAGATAATAGAAATGAATGACAAGCTGAAAAACTCTCTGACAGACACCTCCCGTAGGATACCAGGGGACTCTTCAGCTGAAGCTTCTTTCCAGCCCCATCCCGACGGTATACTGGGTGATCCAGTGGTTGCTAGTGGCTCCCCTGAGAGACAAAATGGGAATGTTGACTGGGATAAGAGTGAATAGATTCAAAGCAGACTTTTTTTTAAAATGGAAATGCAATTGAATTGTAACTGTTGTCAAGTGATTTGGGAATCCTTTCACAGTGGTGCAGAGCTCAGCATGTTCATTTGCTCAGCCCTTTCTCCTCTTTCATTTTCAGCCTGCAGGGATGTGTCTTGGAGTGAGAAGGTCCTCAGTGGTGTGAACAGGGCAACGTCATAAATGTTTTGCTATGCATAAACTGTTAAAACATAAGAGATGTTTTCTAAATGTGAGTTATGCATCCAAGGAAGAGATGCTGTAATAACTGGGGAAGAAAGGGACTGCTCAGACTACTCAGTTTCTTGAGGTGGGTGAAAGGTGCAGGTCTGAGGTGCTTTGCCACAAAATGGTTTCATGAGAGAGGAGACAGATCTGTTATGGGTAATGCTGAACTTTCTTACCTTGTGAAGGAGGAATGTTTTTACTGCGTTTGAAAGTTGAATGTGATCAGATCAGTTAAAATTTCTGGTGACGCCCAGCAGCTGTAAATTGAATAACCTTTTGGCAAACTATAGAAATTTTTGGTTCTGAGACAAAGACAAGAAAAAAAATGGAAATTATTTCTTGGGAATGAAACCATGCCTTTGGGTGATTTAAAAGCAGTTTATGAGAAAAGGCACAAAATGGGTCATGTTTTAGCTGCTCAAATGCATAACTCCGACCTACTAAACGGTGGCAACAAATTTAAATAATCAAAATATTTGTGATTTTAAGTATGGCACTACCACTGAAATCAACAAATGTATGCAGATGTAAAATTATCATGTAATTTTTGAATGGCTTGGGTTGGAAGGGACCTTTTAAAGATCATCCAGTTCCAACCCACTGCCATGGCAGGGGCACCTTCCACTGGACCAGGTTGCTCAGACCTCTATCCACACTGACCTTGAAAACTTCCAGGGCATCCACAACTTCTCAGGGCAACCTGTTTCAGTGCCTCACCACCTCCACAGGAAAGATTTTTTTTCCTGGTATCTAATCTAAACCTACCCTCTTTCAGTTTGAAGCCATTCTCCCTTGTCCAATCACTACATGCTCTTCTAAAGTCCCACTCCATCTTTCTTGCTGACTCTCTTCAGGTAAAAGAGATTACTTAATATATAGTATTTTTAAGCCAGTTGTTTAAATAAAGTTATAGCAACTTCTCTGGCTTCCTGTGCCAAGACTTTAACAGGGTAATGTGTTACAATGAATATTTGAGAAGGAGAGGGGAATTATCAATGAGACATTCCTTTCCAGGATGACTATTGTCCCTGGCCAGTTGAACTGGTGCCATTTGGGTTTTATTTCTTTGGGGATGACATGGAGATGGACTCTCCCTAGCGGAGAAGCTGTGGTTTGTCTGTGTAGGTTTATTGCTGCTAAGCAGGAAAACCTGGGCAGGTGCAGCCATGCCAGAGAGCCCTCCCAGTAAGAGGAAAAAAAAAAAAAGTTGCAGCAAATGGCAAAATCTGTCTCTGAACAGTAATCTTGCCATTTGTCATCTTGGGACTCCAAATTAGTTAAGTGTTCTTTTAAGTCTGTGTGATCAGAATGTACTCTCGTTTGGCGTTTTTTAACTTTGCACTTTTATTAGTATTTTTCTTGCCAAGAGAGTTCATTTAGTAACAAAAGGGCTCTAGGTGTAACATAGCACAGAATCTTAGATGGATTCCCTGGATTGCCAGGTCTGCTTTTGTTCCCTCTCTTGCCCTCCAAGTGTGCAACCTAGGTTTGCATGGTTTTTTCCTTTCTTCTGAGAAGTCAGGATAAGAAGCCAGGACCAACTTGTAGTGAATTTTTTTTTGCTAATATCTTGCCATGTTGCAAGGCCTCCCTCTCCCTCTGCTGCTGGCACTTAAACACCATCGTGTTTTTGATGGACTCCTTCTGTGGCATCTTTTCCAGTGCAATGCATGAACCTGCACTTTAAAATGAAGCTTGTTTCACCTGTGGTACCAAGGGTTCTGTTTTCTTACAGGAATGGTAATTGCTTGTAAATGCCAGTTCTTTGCCAGGCACAGGTGACAGGAGTGAGTCCATGTGGCCTTGTGTGCTTAGCTGGGTTGATGTGGAAGCAAACTGTGGTGGGCAGAGAGTGGATGGAATGAAGGCAGCTGGAGCCTGCATTTCACTGCTTTTCCTCTTGTTTTTCCTCCTGCACACTGCTCCGTGTGTGGAAAGTAGGAGGTGTCAGCTGATAGTGAGGACAGATCCCACCATCTATGGAGGGAAAGGAAGAAGGTGCAGGACACACAATGAAAGATATGAAACTGTCCTGTGGCAGCTCCCAGCTGGAGCTGTGATCCCCGTGGCTTCACCTGTGTTGATGTTGCTAAAAAAAAAAGTCTCCCCATACCCGAGAGATCATGTTGCCAGAAGAAAATATTTTAAAGAAAGATACTGGGCAACCAGGAAGATTCTAAACTCCCCCAATTCATATGCTCATTTTTGATGAAATTCCAGATCAGAATGTCCTACATGTAAGACTGTTCTCATGTTTACATGGATAGTTTACTTTTTATTGTTTGCATAATCAAGTACTAAAAAACCCCAGAAAATTAAATCGAAGCTGCATTGGGAAATATGCTGTAATCTCTTAGAAGCTTATCTATTGCATATATACACACACTTATTTGTGTTTCTGACCAGCATCTTCCCAGCAACTGTAAAAATATTGCACAAACCAAGATTTTATTCTTTTAAGTCCTGTATGAGTAACTTCAATTCATCTCCATTTCCTCCTTAAAAAGCAGGAGGCCTATGTAGTAGGAATAGAGCAACAGGCTGGAATGCCAGGGTAAGAGCAGCCTTCTTCCATGAATAAAGGATCCAAAAAGCAGTGGCTGTAAAACAGTGGAAGCTGGAGAATTATCTATGTAGAATCACTTTCCACTGATATGTGGAGACCTGCCTAAATATACAGTCATCTTAGTGAGGACTTGGAGCCTTCAATGTCTTAGTTCTGGTCTTTAATCTGGAACTGGGCTAGACGGCCAGAGAGTTCTTATCCCCTAACCAGCCTGCTTTTAATAGCAGGGACTGCCTTTGACTGAAAATGAAATGCTTGAAGCAATTTAAAACAAGATCTAGGACATTTCCAAGCATGCACGTTGGAATTCTAGGCACTCTCAATGGCCAAAGTTGAGCTCCCTGCTCCTGGATTTTGGTGCTCCTCAAGGCTTGTTTTCAGACAATGAATGTTAGGTTTTCACAAGTTCAAATTTCCTTTCAATGTAAACTGCTTCCTGGCATATACAGCTGAAGTGAGGATCTATTTACAGTGCATATCTATTTTAAGTTACAGGCCCTCCAGAAAGCTCAAGTACTTAAATATTACGGGTTGAAATTACTTGCAGTAATGATATTACATTACTATTGCCCTGCTTATGCTAGAAAAGCCATCCCTGCGTTGAGGACAAGAGCTTTAATCCATGGATTAGATAACTGAATTTGATAAGAACCCTATTTTTGTTCACAAGCCCAGGAATAGTTTGAAGATGAGTGCTCTGCTCCAGTGTGAAAGGTAACCTCTTGCAGCTAAGTGTTATTTAATACTTTATTTATCCTGAGGCACTGCCAAGTGCTGGACTGTACTCCAAGAACTCACTCCTGGCATTTGCACTTTTATTCTGTACATGACCAATGCTTGAATGCAAGACCAGGCAAAGTTTTATAACTTGATGTTTTGGGTTTTTTTAAAAGTTATTTTGCATACAAGTGTGTTGCAATCTGTGGATGTTCTATTATATATGTGATATTTTTTATTCTGCTTGGTGTGGGTTTAACAATGTACTGTGTAATGTGACATTTATTAGACTGACTTGTGTTTTAATTGTAATAAATTCTTATCTGGAGAAGACACTCAGGTTCCTCAATGTAAATAAAGTTTTGTTCTATTTTTTAAACCTCTGGAGTTTTAAATTTAAAACTCAGTCCTTTTTTGACTGACTAGTGGAAAGCTGGAAATGTTTATCCTCTGGTTTGGGGAAGGCCTCCAAGAACTGATACTGGTATTTTAGATCCCAAAATTTAGGCTGGACTCTTAACTTGATTTGAGCAGTCTTGTTTTACATTATTGTGTGTGCCGGAGAAGGGAAACATATTTTTAAAACCCTTATCATTTTTTACCATATCATTTTATTCAACTTTAATATGGTTTCCATTATTAACTTCTAAAACAAAATGATTTCCAGTTTAGAAAACAATGCACTGACCACATAATTCCTTTTCCATTTTATACAGTTATACAAATATTCTAAATACACATTTTGTCAAGATGGTGGCAAATAAGATTTAACTGTACAGTACGTAAGGAAAGAAAATATTTTAAGCATATTTAGAAGCAATAGAAATGTCTATACAAAACAAGCAAAAATGGAATAAAATTTTATATTTAAAGTATTGCAACAGTCCCACAGGTTTGTAACAAAAATGTCTTTGCACAGTTCCTCACAATGCCCCATTAATAGCTAAAGCAAGACAGCAATTTTTAGAAAATAATGTTTCAAAATGCTACACATGGTACTACTGCTTGCACAGTCTGATCAAAATAACAATCTACTTGGAATCAAGCAAAACTTAGGAGGAGATATACCAACCAACTTTAAAATTATCTGTATAAAAGTCATTGCACATTATTTTACTCAGTTGTTTGAAAAGTAAAAAAGTGTATTTACAAAATATTTCGCAGACAAAATTATAAAGTGAATGGATAATATATAAGTAACACGTCTTGATACTGACAGTTCAAGAACACACACAAATGGTTTTATCGTTTCAAGAGGTTTTCAGTGCTCCTTCCTCCAGGAAGTAAACTTGACTTCTACTTTGAAATGGATTTACAAGATGTTACACAGAGCTATTTCAACATCAGCATTATAAAACAGTATGTTAGAAACATGAAAGGAAGAAGAAATTTTTACATCTTAAAAAGTGAGCTATTCATAGATCAACAAATGGGTTGGGTTTGCTTTTTTAAATTTAGTTATGGTAAGTGTTCATTATTCTTCAGATAATAAACCCAACAGTTAAAATGGAAATCCTGGACTAGGTGAGAATTGAAAAAGCACCATGCACAATAGTCTTAGTGTGGTAAACACTGAAGAAAAGAAAAATAGCACCTGGAATCCTGTAACACAGATCATTTAAAACTGGTCAAGCAGCTGGCGGAGATAGGGTGCCTTTGACAGTTCTCTGCTCACTCTGGAGAGCTTGAAAAGGACTGGGCAGTTGAGGGAGACACACTGGATCTGCCGATCAAAGCAGCCTGTGCAGTTCTTGCATATCTGGATTACACAAAAAAAAGCAAAACAATTATTTTAAATGACACAAGCAAGGCATAAACCACTAGGGACTACTAAATCCTCAAGCCTGTATTAGCAGAACAGGCATAGCCCTTCTGCACAGAGCTTCTCCCCAACATGGAGGGACCCACAGCAGCTCTCTTCTCTGCTTCAGCCTCGTGGGCTGCTGCCAGGCAGCTCATTTGGCCACCGGTGGGTGGCTGGCAGCATCACCCACTGAACTGGGCAGAGACCAACAGCAGGACTCTACAGCTTGGGTTTCAATCCTGCTAATTAAGCTCTACTTGCATGTGGTGGCACTTGAAAAAACAAGTAAGTCGACTGCGTTTAAGCAGGGCAGTGTGTTCTATTTTCAATAAACTTGCTCTCTATAAAAGTCTCCTAGTGAAAAAAGATAGAACTCTTATCCTGCAGTTATTCTCTGCAGAGAAAAGGGACTTTAAATAATTAACTACTCATTTCAAGATAAGCTTTAATTAGAGTTTTACCTAGTCAGAGTCAATCAATCCCAACACAGAAAT